AAAGTCTAAATTAAAAAATGGGGGGGGGCGGGAACCACAACCCTGCAAACTTGAAACTCTCAGCATGCCAAAAAAAAACAAACACACCCCTGAGGTCAGTTACTGTGCCATAAGTGTACCTGGCAAGAGTAGGTGAAGCAGGCTTATGAGTGGCATTCCTTTAGGAGGCTCCCTCCAGCACAGGCATCCTCCTTCAGGGTCTGGTTCAAGTTCATGTCCCACCAAAACCAGCTCTATTTTACTGTCAGTCCCGCCAGTCTCATACGAGCATAGTTAAAATGTGACCACCGACGTCGTCACATTCCCGCTGTTATCAGTGCCAGCAGCTGCCAGAGGTACTAAGCGCTTCTACATGTCAGCCAACACCACGATCCCTACCTCAAAGAATGCACAGAATTACAGCACACACATTGCAGCAGCTGGGCTGTGCTTCTCTGGAACAAAGGCGACTTTCTTACTGACGTCCCAACTGTCAGTTACCCCTGCAAGGAGAAGAGTCCTCTTGTAGGCAAAAGTTCAGCAGACAAAAAAAACATTTTCAGAGGTAGAGGTAAAGAAGCGGAGGTACAAAATATTGCTCTGCTGTCTTCCTGTAGCACCAGAGACAAAGAAATAGCAGCACTATCCGCCTAACAAACACAGAGACAGGAACCTTCTCCTTACCACCAGTAGAATAAACCTTTCAGAAAGTCACTAGTGGGCTACAGAGCAATGCACATTTGGAGAGGATACCCAAATACCAAAGCAAAAGAAAAAAAATTCACAGAGCTTTCAACAAGACGAAGTCACAGCAGTATCAAGCCCTGCAGCAAAGGCTCCAGACAGCCCATCTAAGTAAGTGCTGCAGAAAGTACCCAAAAAAGCCGTGTCCAGCAACGCGACAGTCGTCTTGAACAGTCTCACTAACCTTGATTCCAAAGCCTGGCTTGCTTTAAAAACAATCTGTTCTATCGCGCATCACAGGAAAGCCCATCAGCTGCAGCCCTTTGCTCTCCCATAGCAGTCACCGCTGAAGGCTTTGCCGTTGGCATGGAGGATCAACAGTAGCGAAATACGGCTGTCTGTCTTACGTCAGGCATTTTAGCTGGAAGCCGCTGGAACTTTTAGTGGTCAGTCTGCTGATCTTCTCTCAAATTTTACCTCATGCTTTCATGAAAAATGAAATCCTTTGAGTGGAAGATAGTCAATATTTCTAATCAAAACCAATACATGTAGATCGTCAAAGACAAAACAACTGATTAATAAAGCACTGAATAAAGAGAAAATGGACAATGAAAATTAACAATTAGCAGCTTTTCCACATACCAGGTGGTCAGCACATACATTCTCTCGAGCAATCAACAGACAGCCCCCCAAAAAAACAGAAGATGTTTTATTGTCTAAAGTGTTGCAATACAACAAATACGTGATCTGTACAAAGGACACAATATAGCAAGTTTAAATACAATCAGGAGAAAGGAGTCCCCGTATTCACAGTCCTCGGACAACATCTTATACCAGAACCTGAACCAACAATTTAAAGATTCACTAAAAAAACCCAAGCAAGTTGTTAAAAAATTTAAAGGTCTCCAAAGAGTCTATGGGTGTATTGTCTTACAGCAGAGATCGTGGGGTATTCTGTGAAGGGTCACAATGGCATCTTATTGCCCTCAATGCTGATTTTCACTGCATGGGCCGATCTGCTTTTTTTCCTGATATCTGTGAATTTCCGCATCTGTTTGTCCAGTCGACTCACCCCTTTCTTAGAGGTCCCCTGGAACTTAAAACATAAAACTAGTAATTATCACTGAAAAAAAGCAGACGTCCCAGAGGTTCAAGAAAAGTGATGCGTGCAAGGTTAAACCTGCAAGAGGGAGCTGATGAAGCCACTGGTTCCAACTGGGGAGGGGGGTGTGCGTGTGCACAAGCGCGCACACATTCTCGCCCAGCAAAGTAGATAAAACGGTTCCCCCAATGTATGCATTGCGTATATGGAGGCAGTCGCACTCACAAACATCACACAGGAAAGCTTTCACGTTACAGGGATTAATAACCATGTTAGTTGTTCACATGCCAGCTGTATACAGTTTGGAATAGCTTTGTATCTATACTGGCTGGAGTTTAGTGTCAGAAATGCACTGCACTACGGTGTCACACATACAGGCTTCCTGTGGGGGGAAGATTTTTAGATATGAATACACTGTAACTGAGGCGGACTGAGCTGACATATCAATTCCAAACTGCAATTTATTTTAAAGGTCACTGATTAGTACTTACAAAGCAAGAGATTATTGGGAAAAAGGGGATGTAGGGGGAAGCAAAAGAAATGCCTAAGCTGACCAGACAAGTTATTAGAAGAATTATTACATTTCATCTCTGTATTTTAACTCCAAATGAAAAACCAAGATGACGCAGCAGTTATTTTGCACAGATTAAATACAGTGATTCTGTAAAGAAACGCCACTGAAGACAAACAGCAAGGACCTTCCAGTCCATAGCCGTTACTTCCTAGAAGGCAATTTCCCCTAACTAGACAATAGAACAATGATCCAAACGTCACACCTTTTAAGTCTGGGAGAAACAGAGATATCCAGAACAGGCAACTTACTATCTGACAAAAAACATCTATTAGAAACTGAAACTCTTGTTCCCATCGCTAAGGAGGGCGCTCCTGACACACTGATTTTAAATAAACTTTATTCATAAGACTGTTCACTATTCATTGAAATTATATCTGGAATTCCACAGTGATGTTTAAAAAAAAAAAGTTTTTTTACAACTCTGAAGCTTAAACTCAACAATCATCTACCATCTGTGCTACCCTTTTCCTCTCGCTATTAGTTTGTGGCAGCCCTGCTCACAGAACTGAAATGCAGACCAGAAATTGTCGAAACAGTTCCTGCACTGATGTATGCCATTGATTGACCTCCCTCCGCCCCGCATTCACAGCGGAGGATTCCTCTCCCCTTGGTCTGTGGAGGTCTCATTCTCTGCCTGTCAACCACCTCTGAAGGCTCACGTCGCTCAACCTCCTTGAACGCGCAGGTGTGAAAAACACCTTACTTTGGACCAGCAAAACGTCAGCCCTGACTGACGTTAGTATACGGTGACATGAGGTCCTATACTAAGGGCTAAGAATTCCTGTGTGTCAGTTAGGTAAACCCAACCTAATTATGTCAGAAGAGCATCCAAAACCACAGGTGGTGCAAAGCTGTTTTTGAGGACCAGTATTTTCATTTAACACCTGTCATTTGGGTACCCTGAAGCTGTGGAGACAGGCATCATGGCCAATGTTACGTGCTACAGCCTACTTCTTCCTGCACAAGTTACCTTTTAGGTCACGGTACAGACACGAGAGAATAGGAGAGTTTTCCAAGTTTCAGTTAGGGTGTACACACTCCTTTCCTGTATGTGCAAACTGCCAACAGCTGACACACATGCACTGTTCACACCTCCCTTGAGGGATACCTCTCAAACTCGGGGAAGGCAGAGTGTCATGGCTACAGGGGCATCCTGTTGCCTTCAATGCTGAACTTGATGGCCCGATGCACTTTGCTGAGTCGTTTCTGTTCAGCAAACCGTCTCTTGTGTTTTTCCAAGCGACTAATACCTCTTTTAATAGTCCCGGGCTAGAAACAATATCTCAATTAATGCACAGGAGAGAGAACAGCAGAAAGCACAGTAATTACTACTTCTACCATGTACTCCGCTTTTAAATTAAACTGTACAAGGTAGATGGAGGAACCAAATAAAGTAAGGCAAAGGCCTCTACTGAAGCTGTTTACGTTTACCAAAACCTTGAAGTTTTCCCAAACTGAAATATTATCAGAAGAACATGATACAAAAACTGGGAGAGGTATAAAAATATCAGTGACACACTTATTGAATTGCAGCTTTAGTTCAAAATGCTCTAAAATAAGAGGCCTGTAATCAGATTCTCACCCTAGAGAGAAACTCTAGAACAGTTAACATGAAAATCTCTTTTGGTTAGAGAAGCAACAATACCTGAGTGAAAATAGTTGATGAGCTTAACACAGCCCACTCGATAGCAGAACTTACTATCTACTCAAATCAGAAGAGGCACTTAAAAGAACTACTGTATGGTACAGTAACCAGGGCAGTAAGGTGACAGATTCCCAGACTTATTCAGAGACAGCTTAGGTACACAGTCCCTAGGAGAGCGCCAGTGCTTACCCTGGAGGACTCCATCTCCACATTCCACTTTGGCCTCACCACATAGTCCTTGTTGGAGGGCATTGGCACCCTCGCACGGGCACAGAACCCGGGGTCTCCGGGCCTAAGAGCCCTGCAGAAAAAAAAAAGATGTGACTGTTAGCAACAAATCTTATACAGAAAAAAGTACAAGCAATATAGTGTGTTCTACCTCTCAAACACACTGCATAACCACTGCCTCTCAAATGTCAAAACAAATTGCATATTGTTAGTACCACTGAAATACTTTTTTCTAATCAAAATTTTTTAAAAAAAAAAAAATTCAACCTACTTTTCCTCTCCAGTTAACACTTTCTCCAGGTCCCTGCGGGGAGTCTGACCACCAGAGCTGCAAGAAAAGTAAAATTCTATAGGTATCTATACAAAGGGAAAGATGGCAATTTTAAAACACAGACAAGTGTGGTAAAAGAAAGAGAGAGAGGTCATAACTTACTATCCTTTTATTTCCCTTAATATTTACACACCACTTTGTTTTTCTTGGAGTCTTAGAAAGAAAGAAGGATTTAATGTTTCTGCCTGCTACTCCTACCTGCTCAATCTCCTTCGTTGAGGCATCTGTTCCAAGTCTCTCTGTTCCCTCTCTTCTCTTGTCATGCCTTTGTAGTTTGAGGTAAGGCCAAAGATGGGTCGAGACCATTCATCTATTTAAAAAAAAAAAATGGTTAACAAACACTAGGCCTCTGAAGTTTATCTCCAAACCACTCTGGTGACCAAATACAGCTTTCAAACTTTATGGCAAGTATTTACACTTCCTTTCAACCAACCAAATTATTTTTGAGCCCTTAATATTTGAGGGAAATCCAGCCTTCTTACTGTGGACAGTAAGAAAGAGCTGTCATCCATAAAGTCTCTTGCTGTTGCCTGCTCTTTTAGAATCTCTTCAAGCTCTTAGAATAGAGTCAGGAACTCCTGCATACCAGAGCGAATGCTATTTTAGAAATACACAAAATAGTTCCTACAGAACACAGCAAGTTTATAATCAGTTTGCAGTCATTCAGGATGGAACACACTACACATGGACTGGAGCTGTTTAAGAAGTAAACTTTCAGTCATCCAAGATCTCTCTGAAGTCCATGAATAAAGAGTCTTCCGGCAACATCTTCCTGCCTTTGTACCATATACATGAGACCTGGACAACTAGCCAAGAGATAATCTGGGCAAATTAAATGCCATCTGGTTTAGAACAAGAATGAAACAAACAGGAAAAGGTACATGCAGAAGTTAAAGTAACAGCATTTGTTAAAAGTTCTACAAACAAAGCAATGAAACAGATTAGTGAGATTCCTACACTGCAGAACTAATTCTACTACAGACGACAGCAAAAAACATGCAACAGAAAGACCAATGCAGAAATTAAAATTATCAGTGAAATCTCACTGACACAAGACAAAGGGAGGTTTACATACTGATTAGCTTCCCTGCCATATCCTTGTTAGGTCTCGACTCTTTGGGGTGTTTGTAGAGGTACATCACAGCTCGTCCAATGCCACTGTGCTTCAGGGTCTCTTGGCTCACACTGGGCAGCTGCAGGGTAAAGGAAGAGTCAGAAAACAGCAAGAACTGAACATTAATGGTGACGCTGACCTTTGCAAAAAGACCAAAACCCACCTTCACAATAAGCTTGAAAAAAATTAGTATTTTTCTTTGTCCCACTATGAATTGGTTGAAGTATCAAACACCAAAAACTAGAAATTTGCCTTACCATTCCTGGGTTTTATACATAAAATTAATTGAGTTTCCAAAACTATTTACTCCAAATGCTCTTTTGCTTATATTACCGAAGAACTGAGTTACTGCCTTCAAAGCACTCATTTTATAAAGACAAAAACTTACATGGCAAGAACATTCAAGTAATCAGCTTAGCTACAAACACTAAAGTCTACCCTGAGTATGATGGGCTTTTGTGTGGACTACATACTTTAATAAGCCAGAAAAGAGAAGGGACCACGAGAAAAATCTCAAGGGATACACAGCAAATGACTCTTCACTAAGCTTTGCATATAAACCTGAAACAGGCAGGCAGGGCCAAATCATCTAAATTCAGGCAGAAATCTTGCAAATTCTTAGCAAGGAGAAATATTTCTAGAGTTTCAGTCAAATAAAGCCAGCTAGTGGTGCTGCAAGAAAAATTTCACTTCTACTTCACTACCAAGACTATACCATGCTTATTTTATGAATGCAGCAAACACAAATTAAAGTGACCAATCACAACGTATGAGCCACTGAGAACAAGGGAAGAAAAGTGACTAAGCAGTTTATCAAGAACCTAGAAACACCGCAGCACATTAACTCCCTCAGAGAGGGTGGAGAACTTCACGTCTGTAGTTCACCTGAGACTCTCAAAAATGTCTTCTGGCCTGCTGCTAGCAGAGCTATTCGCTTTGTTGTGAACATGGGCAAAATTTTCCTAACAATTAAGTGCCTGAAGTTCCCTACCCAAATTTTATGCAGCTAGACAGCATGCCTACAACATAAGACTCATTAAAATGATGCAACTTTTAAACAAACACATCTATTTGGCAGTTTGCTTCCTTGTGTATTTCACTGCACAGGCCACTGGTAGCAGCTGCAGTACATTTATCACCAAACATTTCCCTAAAGCAGGTGATTGTAAAACCATAGAGAAGCCACAAATCAAATATGGTTAAGAGTCACTTTCAAACCTCTTGCAGGATCTTCAGAAGCTCCTCCCGTATCTTTAGTGCTGGCAGACTTCGGTCTGGAAGAGGAGAAAGCCACTCTTTGATGGCAGACATTACTCCACTATCGATGAAAGTTTCTTTGAGGTCCTGCCTAGGAAGTTTAAAGTAAAAAGAACCCACAAAGTCATATAATACATCAAAATCTTAAAATGTGATGCTTCTTCAGCACAATAGTGCATTTGAGTTTGTTTCGTGTTAAACGAACAGGTAAAATCACACAGAATTTTAGGTTTTTGAGGCCACCTAGCTCCAGCATTTACCTGCAGAAAAAAAGTGTTTCACTGCATATTCAGGACAACTAGTAATGTCACGCCGTGAAATCTACCAAATTCCCAATATTCCCCAAGATGATAATTAACTAGGAGAGTAACAACTCACTTTTTAAGATGCATAACTACAGTTGGTAGCAAAGTCAATTTCTTTAGTGCTGGTTTCTTTTGTGTATTCAGCTGTCGATCCTCCTGTAGGGAGTTGAAGAATCAGCGCAAGTTAATCAAAAGAAGAAATCAGCAACGTTTACAGGAAAAAAATTAGTCTATTAAACAAGAAGCGCAACTCTGGCAGCATTACACTAACTTTGTACCCTGCTCCATCCTCCTACAGCCCCAAAACACATTATATGATGACTTTTCTTAAAAAAGGGCCCCCATCATAGTCAACATTTTCCTTAAAAGTATGACATTAGGAGATTCCCCCTACATTTTTTTCTACTTCATGATTTATGTTGATTGCAATGAACGAGAGGTCTGCAGAGTCCTCCATGCTAGCTACGCACAGATAACCTAGAAACTTGGTGAGTAAAATCTCACCTGAACAACAGAAAAATAGCTAACCAAAACAACGGAAAGTGAGAAAATGTGTATTCACTTCAGCTAAGAATGTAACCGGATAACCTAGAGGTTTAGGATGAAGCACAGTCCAAGTAACGTAAGAGCACACAAATGCACATCACGTGCTAAAACAAAGTCTGGGTTTCAGAGTGACTTATCGTCCAAGGCCATAATGTCGCTCTCTGGTCAAGTACTTGGGCTCCTGTATCAAAAAGACCATTAAAATCAACAGATTTCTGTCCTGCTGAGATAATTCCTTTCCACTCATCTTAATCCACTGAAGGCTCTTTCTCGACGATTTTTTTTCATTGCAAGGGAGGAGATTCCTCTAATGCCCTTTTCCACCTCTTCATGCCCCAGAATGGTTTGACAGGCACATGCTAGAGAACTAAAGACACCACAGTACTGGAGCTCAGCTCTTGCTTCTCCCCAGCATTTCAAACTTTATAGCTTCATTTGAAACATTTGGCTATCATGTGTCCAAGGAAGTTGTCTCTCAGTTGTCTCCCAGATCACTATGTCACTCTCCCCTTCCTCCCCAAACACATTATCCTTCTTATCTTGTTCTCAGGAAGATTCTTCTTTTTTTTTTGTTATTTTTAAGATTCCTCCTTCTAAAGTTCTGTATACCACCCAGCTGGTTTTAACGAGTCTCACAGTGCTGTTTGTTAATTTGATTGCTACTCCAACAAAACTACACCCAGAACAGAAGATACCTGACAAAAGGCAAGACCCCAATAAATCTTGCACAGTAACAGATTAAACACGACCCCTTGAAAAAGGCAGCCTGCCAAGGCAGAACTTCCCATAATTCTGTTGCTCAACCATCATTTACCACAGTACTGTCATTCGACAGTTTAGAAAGGGGTTCTTCTCAGGAGCAAACACTGAAGTACTACATATGCTAGTAATTGTATAATGAAATTAAAACAAAGTCCCTGTCTCAGCATTTGATATACTTATTCATGTAGTTTATAGAACACATATATATATATATCCCTTTTTATAGGACAGCTGATCTCAGGTCAACAAAGTTTAGCAGGTTAACTAATTCTAATCTTTAAAATGAACAAATATTTTCTCCAAAATTCAACAGAAGAAATGTTTTAATTCAGAATATCAAAATAACATTTAAACAGTTATTTAGATATTGGAAGCTTTCCATAGTGTACAAATTACTCCTCCTGACTACCAGCCAGATTTCTGCATTTTACTGATCACAAGATTTTCACATAGAACGGAACTGGATTTTAAGGTGTCTCTGGAGCCTAGAAAACTCACCTCAGCAGCTTCGTTCATCTTCACAATCATAGCACTGACCACATCATCTGCATCACTAATAAAAGTTCCACCATCACGGTTTCGTCTACGCTTGCCACTCATGCTCTTCTTTCGTTGCAGCATCATGTCAAAATCTGACATGAAGTCCATGCTAAAACGCAAGAGAGTTTGCTGACGGTCAGAAAAGGGTGATCTTACTGTCTTTGTAGGAAATAATTTTGTATTTCTGTAACGTAACCTTTCAGAAATTCTCCAATAAATCTACAAGCATTATGTCTCAATGCCCCTGTAAGAAAATTAGTTACCCTCACTATACAAACTGAGAAATTAGCAAATGGCTTCAATGGCTCCGACATACCCTCAGAAGTCTGCAAGACCTTGCTGAAATAAACAACACCACACACACGTGTAAAGGTGTAAATGTTCAAAATGTGCTAAAGCTGTCACTGAAGCTGACAAAGACTTAGTTTTCCTATACCTGCAATACACTGCTCTGACACTACTGTAGCGGACAGAAAGGAAACAGGAGACATGCTGATGGCAAGTCTTGCCATACCTTATCCCTTACACGAGCAGAGAAACACACCTGTGACTCCAATGTTGAACTGCTAAAAGTGGAGTTAGATGCTCGTTTGATTAATTTCACTCAGGTTTTGATGCAAACTATGAAATACTGTTCCCTGAAGCAGCAGCACAGGCAATCTGCTATGGACTGCCAAGTGACTAAACTGTACAAGCCGAGAGAGGACCTTCTGTCGTAGTTTATGAGAACACACTTTCTGTAGAAACATAGTCCCATGCCTTTCTAAACCAGAAAGTCTAGCCAGTCTTTGGAGGAGTTCTTTCACTAAAATCTTGCATTTGCTATTAACAAAGGAGTACGCAACACATTGACTTACTGCTTCCCTCTTTTGATGTTATCATCGGAGTCCGATTCATCTGCTGTCTCCTTCATGTCTGCATCACCTTTCTCCTCCTCCAAATCCTCCTGATTAAAACCCTGATGGGCAAAGACAATGTAAATCAGCGTATGGATGAAGACTGAGCATCTACTCAGGCACCTGACACTGATACTCAAAAAGCTTCAGATAAGTCTGCAGAGGATCTAGAAGAAAGAGGAACAAAGGCTTCCTAACTGCGCCTGTGACTTTCACACCATTAACTCTCTCAAGAGAAGAGCTGTAAATGTATTTAACCCAAAGACTGCCTGAGTGAGTCTAGCAGATACAAAGCTTCCCTCCTGATATAGCATATCCTTGAACAGGAGTTCAAACCCAAAGAGTCATTCTGGAGTACCTTCCCATGAAGCTTATATCTAGCAAGTGAACTAGAAACATCCACAACAACACTTACTGTAAATTCCTCTTCTTCCTCATCACCAGATTCTCCAAATATATCTGCAATCAGGTTCCTGTGAAGGTAACAGTAACATTTATCTATTTAGACTGCAACAATGAGATGTGCATTTTCTGCAAAATTTCTAATGACTGTGTGGAGATCCACCTTTCATTCTGCCACCTACTACTGACCTTCCTCTTCACACCACCAATGAAGGTGGACAATCATTCTCTGGTTGGGATTCATCCATTCTCCATTCACGATCAGTCTCACTATCTGCAACCCTGAAGGAATTCCTACTCCCAGAAGCACTTACTCTTGTTCATTTCCAGATTCACTGTCACTGCCAAACAGATCTTTCTCTTCTTTTTTCTTCCCAGCATTCTCTTTTCTTTCTTCTTCCTCTTCCTCACTATCTGATACAATATTTTTCTTCCTTTTGTCAGATTTCTCTGAAGCAGCATCACTATCTGATTCTTCGACATCAGAAAGGATTCGTACCTTTTTTGCAGCTGCCAACAGAAAGTAGCGTTACTACACGTCCTAGTAACAGAGGTGACAACTGGTACTCTCAAAAAACTATTCTCAAATTCGACTTGGACAAGAGAGAAACTGACTAGCCTTCCTCCACAAAATCACTGCTGTTTCTTAAAAAACATATCCATTCTAAAAATCTGTTTTATTTAATCAGTAACTGAAGTTTCCATACACCACATCTAACCATAAACCCCTGTAATTTCAAAACTCACTCTCGCCCTCGGTAAATGGAAAAAAAAAAAAAAAAAAGAGGAAAAAATGACTAGAGAAATAACGACAAAGCAGACAAATGACTAATAGGAATAATCACAATGACTAGAGAAGCCAGTATAAAGCAAGATCACTGCAGTCTTCTCTTTTACTTCTATTAGACCTACTTACTACTCAAAAGTATTAGATATACGTTCACACAGAAATATTGTTAGAACAACAGCCTCTACAAATGCAGTTGTGCTATAAACCAAATTGGCTTTATGGTTTCATATTTATCTTAGATGCTTTCTTCACATAAAAACGACAATTTAGCTCTAACACTACTGCTTGTCACATCACATTTTTATTTTCACACTATAGTTCCTTACGTGTTTTCTCATTGTCATCCTCACTGTCAGAAAGGATAGCTGTTTTCCTCTTCACCACCTTCTCCTCCTCTTTCTCTTCTTCATCACTGTCCGATATTTTTCGTCTCTTAGGAGCTTCCTCTTCACTGTCAGAGCCCTCAAATCCTTCCCTAACATGCTCATTATCTGAGTGATGAGAATCATTCTGCACCTCCTCCTTCCTGTCCTCCCCATCACTGTCCTCAGACTCTACTTCTTGTTTCTGTCTGGAAACATCCTCGCTCTCTGAGTCGCTAGCCGGCTGTTTGCGGAGTTCCTCACTCTCCGAGTCGCTGGCTGGCTGCTTGTGGAGCTCCTCACTCTCCGAGTCGCTGGCTGGCTGCTTGTGGAGCTCCTCGCTCTCGGAGTCGCTGGCTGGCTGCTTGTGCGATTCCTCATTTTCAAAATCACTACTGTGATCCCTGTGAGGTTCTCCATTTTCAGAGTCACTTGCTCGATGATTTAAGGCATCTTCATTTTCAGAGTCACTTAAATGCCGATTTGGACGGTCCTCAGTATCAGAATCACTGTCTTTCCCTCCATGAGCTGCTTCATTGTCTGAATCACTTACATTGTGATTTGGAGGCTCCTCATTATCTGAGTCACTGTCTTTTTGCCTTGGGATATCTTCATTTTCAGAGTCTGTCATATGAGGCTCTCCCATTGGCCCGTCATCTTCTCCATCACTGTGTTCATTCTGAAAGAGAAAAATAATCTCAGGCAACTAAGCAAAAAAAACTGAAAAAGTAAATGAAAAATGTTCTGAATTTTTGCTTGTCCTTCCTGCAATTTGATTACCCAAGCTACTGCAAATTGAAATACCTTCTACACAGAAATAATTATTACACAATCTGCATCAAAGGACTATCAAATACTTCAGATCAAGAAAAATATTAAGAGATCAATGGAAGTCTGTCCACCCTGCAACTCAATCATATTTTGGAAACAGTAACAGAATTTAACAATCACTGAAATAAACATGTCTAAGAAGGGTCCAGTTCCTCGAGGGTAAATGCCAAGTGCTTTTATTTTAAAAACTCGGGCCTTCAAAATGGTTTAGTCTAAATCCCCAGTAATAAGGCAGGAAACAGTATCACACTCATCATTTTCTTCTTCTAAAGATCTCTTTTTGTATGAAATACATTTTACTGAAATTGCACACGCATTACTTTCCAAGTGAAGCTCAAGAGAGCTTCTGCCCTGTCCTTCTTTGCCAAGGAAACTTACTTAAGGACATGTCAGGACCAAAAGCCCACCAAAAAACAGGAATAAAGTTTTAGTCAGACCTTTCAGAGTAGTACTGTTTTGTGTTTCAATGTGTAAGAATGTAAGAGATTCAAACTTCTCTCCCTTAAGCTGATAGCTGCCATGCCTATCCAGACATCTGAGATGACCTATGCACAAATACAACTACCTTCTTAAAACTTTAGAATTAAAACACAACCTTTGTCTTTTTCTACATGGCAAAAAATACTGAGCCACATGCTCCATTTTTAGAAAAACCTTTCACAAGCCACCAGTCAGTATCATTTCTGAGAACATCTTGTTTTATCTTTCCTACACCATCTAATTTCTACTTGGGAAAAAAAAAAATCTCAAACACATTTACCCGAGAAAACAAAATGAGACTCCTGATTACTCGTTTCATTAACTCAGTACACCTCTCTCAGTCACTGTCATAATAATCCTATTTTCAACTGAAAAGAACAATACTGTAAAAGGAACTTCTTTTCAACATACTCAACTCCACTTTCAGCCAGGCTCTCCTCAGGGGTGATTTTGTCCAGCTATAGACTCCTTCCACTAGCATACTTGCAAACCAAGTATTTATTGTCCTAGGAGATACTTTAACACCTGTATGTCCTGGAGCTTCCAAACCTTTTTTTGTCAGCAATTTAATTTCCTTGGAAAGACAGACTTTCTATTTTTATTTTCTATAGTCATTCTACTCCCACATCTATCCTACACCTACAACAAACAATACTATTACTCTTTAAAATGTATGATTAAGAAGGAATTTTAAATAAAATTAATTTTAATTGCTTTTAGGAACTACTCCCTCCCGAATTATACTAAGTGGTACGTAACATTGCTTTCTAAGATTTTGGACCGTACACATTTGTCCCCTTGGCTAGCACTGAATAAAACAGTAACTTCTAAACTACTGCAGAGTCACTAACAGAAAGTTACTGCACAATGGAAGAAAATCAGGACTATAAAACTTTAAAACATGTACTTCAAATAGAACTTCACTATTTCTGTGTTACTTAATGGTAGCTACAAATAAGTGCTTGTCCCTGTCTCCACAGTGATACTAGTCTTCGGAACCATGCTGGTGGTATTCTTCAGTATTTCTCATTTCTCCTTACAGAAAGGAAACATGGTTCTGTTAAAACCTGAATTTGGAATTTTAAAGAATTAAATATGGAGATTAAGAAGTTACAGAATTGAGGATGTATAGCTGAGGAAGACCATACACACACTCAACTGCTCTCAGCTTGTTATAGGATTTTACTTACTACTTTTTTTCCTTACCAAAAAATTAATTTGATTGCCCTCTCCTGCCCAGTATCTCCCACAAATTAACAACAAGCATATGTGATGTATTTTCTCTGACTGTATTATTTAAGATTAAAGAAAACTGCAGCTGCAACAGAATAGGAAACACAGATTTTACAGTAGTGTTACAGGTAAGGTCATTGAGAAGTACTGAAATGCAGAGGTCTATACTGAAATTGATGTTTATAATAACAGAAATTCTTTAATCCTTATTTTCCTACCATTTAATTTTTGGTGGGTTTGTCTGTCTTCTCTTGATTTCAGATGGCTAATGCTGAATAGGTACTGATAATTACGCCAGTAGTAGTAAGGGATTTTGCTAAACAAAACCAAGGAAAACAATACAAATACTCCTGTTTAAACTCTTAGGCTCATCACCTTCCCGACTGCCAGTCTAAGGAGTATTTGGTGAACAAGTAAACCAAACTAAAAAACAGCAACTGGAATCCATAATGACTCTTAAATGCTTCTAAAGTCGCAAGTGTGGCTGCAGGTTATATATCCACCTATTCAGAATGTATTACTAAATTGCAAGGAATTTCCTATGCAAAATACTTGGTAAGAAGTCATTACAATTATACAGCATTATTACTGAAGCACTTTACAATATATTGAATCTCTAATCTGTGACTGCAAACTGACAATCACTCTTGAGAGCAGACACACATCCTAATTAGCTCACACTGTGATTATACACTGCTCTGCACCACAGAACCCCAGTGGTTACAGCAGCTGAACTCTATGGTGATATAATCACCTACAGAAGAAGCACTTACATAATGCTGGTGCCCCTACATAGACTGGGCAGACAGGCACCATCTACTCTAGGCCCGAGTCTGGAAAGCTCAACCAGAGCTAACCCAAACAGCACACAGTTATATTACTCAAGTCAGTAAGCCCCGCAGAGAGAGGACACACGCTACCTCATACTCAGCACATTAATGTAACTCAGCATCTTCTACAGCAGAGCTGAGACAGAGCTCAGTGCCTACAGAGGACAGGCCCTGTCCACAGCCATCACTGCAAAGGTCTTCTGAATACAATTAAGGAATCTGTGAATCTTTTGGAATATACTTGATGTAAAAAGTGCATGCAACTTTACAGTAAGGTGACTAAACTCTGCAGGATTGTCTCCCCTCCATCCCTCCCCCTGCCCCATTTTTGGGGGTTTTTATTTGTTTGTTTGTTTGTTTTTTACTAGTTCGTCTCTAAAAAGATGTTTTCAAAGAAATCAAGTATCAAATTTTGGAGTTTTCTATTTTTCCTTTTCCAAATACTTAATTAAAATAGAAGATCAGACATCCTCAAAAACAAGTAGGTCTCAGGTAATTGCTACTGCATTTTTCGCTAATTCCTTTGCTTTCTTTTCTTCCTCCTCTTTATCTATAAACATTTTAATTGAGATGTCCTTAATTTTTTAACTGAAAGAATTCTATAACATGAGGCTTTAGTACAGTATAAAATAACGAATACATCAAAATCAAATTTACAGTGTTATCCTTCCACATAAAAATTTCAGTTAGCAAGTAGTTTATTGGATCAACATGCAGCCACTTTCAAGAGGTACTACTCTGACAATTTAGTAAGTTCAACAAAATTGACCTATCCTCTACAATCTCATGAATGACAATTGTTAAACTAAGGCATACATAACCGTCATAGGCAGATCAGCAAGTCTCTTTTTTTTCCAGAAACGTAAGATGTTTGTTAACAGTCACAGTCAAACCATAACTTAATTCATGAAGACAGCAGCGACTTGGTGAAAGTGTAAGAATCTAAGTTGTTAAAGATTTCCATATGAGCCTGACTTGTACAAACACTGTAAACATGATTTCATATTCATTACTGTACTAAAACTATGTGTTATCTAATTCTATTTGTCTAAAGCAGAATTGGTAAGGACATCAAGGAGAACATTTATAGATAAAGTGGGATTGGGGGAAGGAAAGCCAGAAAAGAATTGTGGAAAAGAAAAACCCACATACCTGAGACCTACATAAGTAATTCCTCAGGATTCCCCTTTTCTTTAAAGTTAAGAACCTGAAAAAAAAGTTTGAAAGTTTAAAACTTCAATTCTTTACATCTGAGTTCTAAATTAGAGACGAAATAGTAATTAAATAGACTTAACTGATTAAGGTGTCTCAAAGGTTTTATTACCTTTGAGTGTCATTCCTCCCACATATTCCTAAAGATGAAGAAATAAGAGTATGAGAGAATATTTATGGTAAATAATATGATAAATCACTGAAAGCTACTCCTTTCAGAGACAGCTGCTCCACATTATTGCATTTTGATTTGCATTTTGAATTTGATGTAGAGAAAAGTAAGAATGTTAGACTTCATAACAGAACAAAATACTCAAATGTTTATGATTTTAACTGAATCAAATAAAGCACTAAGGCTTGAAGGTTCACATTTACTATTGGACAGAAAAGTGTTTCAGTTCAGTTTTTTTCTAAATGAAATTTCGGAAGTATTTTATCTACAGAGGAATATTAAACAGTTACCACAAAAGAAAGCCCTTAAATTAATGCAGGCACATGAAGAGGATCAGTTAACAATGATAACAGGTCCTAGTACTTTCTAGTTATTTAAATCTGAAAAAGACATGCTGAAGATCTAAGTAATAGTCAACTACCTGTTGTTTAGGCCAAATTTCCAACTACTTTGCCACACTAAGTAAAATTAAAATCCCACATAAGTATAGATGAGTAAGAAGAAATGACCAAGTTTTCCTATACTGCAGAAAAAACTTATTATTGTAGCAGCAACATGACTCTCCATGCACTCACCACCACCTTTTTTTAATCAAACCAGAAGTACTAAATCCCTTTGAAAGACAGTCATTTCTCCCATGCTGAAAAACATATTTTCTACCACACTGAAGACCTGATTGTCACAGTAAGAGACGCTGCCTCACACCAAATCAATTTCTTCCATTGTAAATATCAACACCTTTTCAAAAAAAAAGAAATTCCATATCTGCTTTACACTCACGTTAAAATATATGAGAAGAACTTTCATTTTATACAAATATAAAATCTTCACCTTCTAACTCTGAGGGAAGTATGCATTCAATAAAGAGGTGGAGGGGAAAAAAAGAAA